CAGTGTAGCGAGCCCTCGAGGGTTAATAATGTGAGGAATTAATAATGAATAAAGTTCCTGCATGCGCTGTAGATCAGCTGCAGCACACTGACGCTCCTTCCTGAGTAAATAAAGGCAGTAGACTGGCCTTGGGTCCCAGCAGCGCCGGCTCGTCCTCCAGCACTTTAGTCAGCTCCTTCAGGGCGTTCCTCAGATAGCTGCGCTTCTCTCTGCGCAACGCACCGCTGAAAACACACACACACACACACACACACACACACACACACACACACACACACACACACACATACACACACACACACACACACACACATCAGTATGGGGACTACACACACACTCATAGACTCACACACACATGCACAGACTCTCTCTCACACACACACACACACTCTGAATGAGGAGCCTCACCAGTTGGCCAGCACGTGCTCTTTACACTCCTTGATGTCAGCGATGCGTTTACTGTACCTGCAGGAACAGAGAAACTCAAATCAGCAGACTCTGGGTCAGTGTGGAAGACACAAATAACAAAGAGAGCCGTGATTTCTGAGTGTGCTGAGAGTTGTGTTTGCAATACTGTTTTTTCTAAATATTCACATTATTGCATGAACAGCTGCATCAGTGAAGCGTTTCCCACTCTGTCATGCTGCCGCTGCTGAAGACGGCGAGTGCTGAAGTGTTTCAGGGATAATTCTGTCTCATTCCTCCTGCAAACAAGTCTTAGTGTAGGCAACAGTACAGCGCCACACATTCTCTATTGGAGACAGGTCAGGACTGCAGGCAGGTCAGTCCAGCGTCTGTCTCCTCTGGAGCATCACAGAAGAGCAGGTCACCTTCGCCAAGAGCACCGACACAACCCCAGACCATGACAGAGCCGGGCTGCTGGACGTGTTGCTGGTGTCAGTCTGGATGATCCTCTTCTTCTCTGGTGTGGAGCACACGGCGTCCATTTCTCCCAGAAACACCTGAAACACTGCTTCATCTGAGCACAGGACACGTCTCCACTGTGTGATGCTCCATCCCAGACGCCTCCCAGCCCAGAGAAGCGCTTCTGGACACTGTTAACATAGGGCTTCCTCTTGGCACAGTGCAGTGTTGGCTGGTGTTTGTGGATGTGACTCTGTGTGCTGCTTGTCACAGGTTTAGCGCAGTAGTGCTGAGCCCATGTGCTGATCTGCTTATATGAGGACTCTTGATGCAGCGGCCCCTGAGGGGTCAGAGGTCACGGTTTTTCAGCTCAGGCTTGCGCTCTTGTCCTTTCACACATCTCACTCATTTCCTCTCCTATTTGTGGCCAAACTGGCGATCCTCGACCCATCTCTGCTCCTAAAGCACTAGAGCTTTCCACACTGCCTTAAACTGTTCCTGATTTGGGGTTTCAGGACTCTGATAGAGATGTACTGTGTGTGTGTGTGTGTGTGTGTGTGTGTGTGTGTTACCCTTTAAGACTGTCGAAGAACTCCTCTGAGAGCTTGTGTATGTTGAGCAGCTCGTCTCTGATGATGCTGATGTACAGGCCGTTGCGCAGCGCCATCTTCCACAGACTCTGAGAGTTTGCGTTGGTGTTGAGACTCGCATGACACAACAGGAACCCGACTGACAGACACAACATTAACACAACAACAACACTTCAGATGCTGTTCACACACTGAGCGGCTCCGGCTGAACTTTCACTCCAATCCAGAGACGTGACACACACACACACACACACACACACACACACACACTCTCATTACTCCAGCATGCTCTGCTGTGATGGAAGCTGATGGACACACTCATCCTCTCATCCTCTCGTTAATGGAAATGAATTGATTACTCACTGAGGATCCAGCGCTCCATCACCTCCATGGACAGATACTCACACGCCACCTACAAACAACCATCAGAGTATTACATCAGCCGTCGGCCTGTCTCAGGTGTGAACATATCATGTCATCTACTACAAACGGAAGCCCAGATGAAGCGACAGAGCAGTTATCTGAGATCTTCTTAGAGAATTGAGAATGCTGAGAGCAGTGGAGTCTGCTGCACTGGTGGGATTCTCCACTGTGGAGTTTGTTTTCTCGAGGTGTTCCCAGGCCAGCCGAGAGACATAGTCCCTCCAGCGTGTCCTGGGTCTTCCCCAAGGCCTCCTCCTGTTGGGACATGTCTGGACACCTAGGTAGGCGCCCAGGAAGCATCTGAAACAGATGCCCGAGCCCCCTCAGCTGACTTCTCTGGATGTGGAGGAGCAGCGGCTCTACTCTAAGCTCCTCCCGGGTGTCAGAGCTCCTCACCCTATCTATAAGAGTGCGCCCTGCCACCCTGCTGGGGAAACTCATTCCGGCCGCTTGTATCCAAGATCGTGTCCTTTCAGTCATGACCCAAAGCTCATGAGAGTAGGAAATTGCATTTATTAATCATAAACATCACTGTGTCTCCGTCTGGAGCTCCTCAGCAGGACTTGTTAAACACTCGCTCCGCCCCTGCAGCTCTCAGCCCCGCCCACACTCATCAACGCTACCAATCTGACCAATCACAGAGCTCGTATTATGTGTCATTGTGACGAGCAGTTATATATCTTGGGAGTTGCGCGTCTGTGTCGGCATCGACCGCAGTGAAGGGTGTGTGACTGTGCCCAGGCTGTTTTGTGGTGTTTATAAAGGCTCATTAGCCGTGTGGTGTACCTACAGTGTCACAGCAGGCCGGGCTCAGCATGGCGGCGGGTGAAGCCAGCAGGGACAGGAGCTGAGCACTGCGCCACTGATCTGCAGTCAGATTCCTGCGCGGATACACCAGATGCAGAGAGAGAACAGCCTCCGTCACCGCCTGACACACACACACACACACACACACACACACACACACACACACATGAGAACAGGCTGTAATAACACTGATGCTGATGTGAGGGGCATTCTTGGGAACGGTGAGCTCATTGCACACTGAAGACGAAAATGTTTGTCCAAAGTTTTGCATGTTAAAAACTGAATTCAGCCTCAGGTCGTGTCGGTCATTATCACACACAGCCTCCAGAAGTTCCTTCTGACATAAAAGAATTGAGATCAGGTTTGATTTTTTCATTTTCAGCAGCTGAAAGTGTTTTGTGAGGTGTTTTGGCAGCTCAGCCTCCACGGTCTGGATATACTCGCACACTCTCTCTGCGATTCGTTTACGGATGGACATATGTGAAGCTTCACAGGTAAAGTGTGAAAGTTCCACTGATTTCCTGAAATAAACTGGGATAATCTCATGCAGCTGTTTGATAATAAGGTGAAGTCTCCATCTTCTGTGTCTAGATTACAGGAGGAACACTCTTTATTCCTCTCTCTATTGTGAAGAAGAGAGCGGAGAACAAACATCACCGCTTACATTAACTCTGAAAGGGTTTGTGTGTTTTTGCAATGGATTAATGAATGTGCATCATGTGCATGTTGTGTACGAGACAGATTACTGGACATGAACACAAACCCACACAGTTTCAGACTTCAGTGTGCAAACACCTCGACATTGAAAAGTAAGTTGAGAGACGCTGACGGACTGACCTTAGTGTGTGGACCGAACTCCTCAGACAGCTTCTTCCAGGGGTGTTCGTACTCTAAGAACATCTGTCCCAGACGAGGGTACGAGGGATCACTGCGCATCACCAAACACACACAAGCATATGTTAGGGTTATGATCTCCTGTTCCCTCTCTCTCTCTCTCTCTCTCTCTCTCTATCTATCTATCACTAGCAAAGCCTAGCAAGCAGAGATGTGGACTCGCGTCAGTAGCTTTTGAGTTGACCTGGACTCGAGTCTCAAATTTAATTAATGTAGAGTTTGGACTTGACTCGGGACTCCAGTGGAGTTTTGAGAGTTACTTGTGATTTGCAACTAGACCTCTACTAGTGAGTTGCTTTAGAGCAGGGGTGTCCAAACTCTGTCCAGGAGGGTCGGTTTCCTGCAGATTTTAGCTCCAGCTTGCCTCAACACATCTGCATGGATGTTTCTAGAAAGCCTAGTAAGAGCTTGATTAGCTGGCCCAGGTGTGTCTGATTGGGGTTGGAACTAAACTTTGCAGAACACCGGCCCTCCAGGACCGAGTTTGGACATGTCAGCTTTAGACAAAAGCATTGACTCAAAAACAAACGTAATGTGTCAAATATTCTACCTAGTCTAATGAGAATTTACAGCTCACACTTAATTTAGTATGGAAGCATGATTTGTTGAAATAAATCATCAACTCGATGGTCCATTTCCAATCCCAGAATGCTCAAAACAAAAGAATCTCTGAGCAGTTAACTGAGCTGTGAAGCACTGAAGTTCTCTTCACCGTGTGTTTGTAGATGCAGTGTGTGTACCTGTTCCCGTTGGACAGCTCATACGCAGAGTTATACATTCCCACTATGGCTTTCTTGTCCTCAATGCGGGACAGCATGTAGATGACAGAGGCGTAGGTGACCACGAGGTCCAGGTAATTCTTGGTCAGGTCAAAATTCACAATCTGAAACAGTTGATGAGCACAGGTGAATGTCAGACCGCCTCTTGTCGCCTTGTGAATTCTGTATTCTCTCCAAGAGTCAGACTTACGATGTTAAAGAAGCACTGACAGGCGTCGATTGTGTTCAACAGCTCATAAACATGGTCCTACAGAAATACACCAGGATCAAAACAATAATCATAACATGTCATATGTTGTAAAATCTGAAAGTGATTCCAGATCCAGTTCAGGATAACTCTGGCCACCGGCACATCTTTCACTCTATTAAACCCCAGTGACCTACACAAGCCTTTCAGTGTAAATCCAAGGGTTTCCTGAAATTCAGTTGTCTGTTTTTGTAAAAATCTGCAGTATTCAACTTCTAAGGGATTAGGGCGCAGGGATGAAACCGTATGAATGTAATATGCTGTTTGACACCAAACAACGTCTCTGCTGAAAGATCATGGGGGCTTGAAGTGTCCATCAGTTGTACCCTTCGAATCCCTCATTCTCAAGGGCCCTTCATAATGGACAGTTTTGAGGACTTCTGTTTGGATCAACACTTCAGTATAGCGGCCATGATTGTTTGCTCTCTGAAGTGCCCTTCGAAGGGTGATATACAGTAGTCAACTTGCATCAAAGTTGTTCTAAAACTATTGAACAGCACTGCATCTTGACTGATCAGCAATTTTGAAAATCTCTTGATCCACTTCTAGTGTTGACTACTGTATACCGTATGGAAGGTACACTTAGATGTGGTAGACATGGGTTAATGCTCTTACCCTGAACTCCATGACATCTATGAAGGACTCGTAGTAGCTGTGCAGACACTCCAGCACGGCGGTCTTCTGTTTCTGAATGCTGCTCAGCTGTTGCTGTACAAACATGAGGAGATGGAGAAGATGAGCAGAAAGCAAAGACACCAGCAGATGAGTCTGAGCTGAGGACACTCACACTGCCACCCCTGAAGTCGATGTTGGGGAATTTTCTGTTGATGTATTTTATGGCAGACTCCATGCTTTTATCAGTGAAGTATGAAGGTCTTCGCTTTGGGTCTGAGAAAACCTGAAATAATGAATGTACATATACACTGAACATATATAGATGCATAGCTACAAAACAAAATAAGAAGAAGTGCAATGGGTTCAACTCTGCAAAATAAAAGCAGAGCAATTGGGAACTCATGATGACCTTTGGGGGGACTCGTGATGACCTTAACAAACTATTGATGACTAGTGATGACCTTTACAGACTAGTGATGACCTTTGAGAGACCACTGATGACCTTTACAGACAAGTGATGACCTTTGAAGGACTAGTGATGACCTTTGAGAGACTAGTGATGACCTTTACAGACTAGTGATGACCTTTGAGAGACTAGTGATGACCTTTACAGACAAGTGATGACCTTTGTAGGACTACTGATGACCTTTACAGACTAGTGATGACCTTTGAGAGACTAGTAATGACCTTTACAGACTAGTGATGACCTTTACAGACAAGTGATGACCTTTGTAGGACTACTGATGACCTTTACAGACAAGTGATGATCTTTGAGAGACTAGTGATGACCTTTACAGACAAGTGATGACCTTTGTAGGACTACTGATGACCTTTACAGACAAGTGATGACCTTTGTAGGACTAGTGATGACCTTTGAGAGACTAGAGATGACCTTTACAGACTAGTGATGACCTCTACAGACTAGTGATGACCTTTGAGAGACTAGTGATGACCTTTACAGACTAGTGATGACCTTTACAGACTAGTGATGACCTTTGAGAGACTAGTGATGACCTTTACAGACTAGTGATGACCTTTGAGAGACCAGTGATGACCTTTACAGACTAGTGATGACCTTTGAGAGACCAGTGATGACCTTTACAGACAAGTGATGACCTTTGTAGGACTACTGATGAACTTTACAGACAAGTGATGACCTTTGAGGGACTAGTGATGACCTTTGAGAGACTAGTGATGACCTTTACAGACTAGTGATGACCTTTGAGAGACCAGTGATGACCTTTACAGACAAGTGATGACCTTTGTAGGACTACTGATGACCTTTACAGACAAGTGATGACCTTTGTAGGACTAGTGATGACCTTTGAGAGACTAGAGATGACCTTTACAGACTAGTGATGACCTCTACAGACTAGTGATGACCTTTGAGAGACTAGTGATGACCTTTACAGACTAGTGATGACCTTTGAGGGACTAGTGATGACCTTTGAGAGACTAGTGATGACCTTTACAGACTAGTGATGACTTTTACAGACTAGTGATGACCTTTGAGAGACTAGTGATGACCTTTACAGACAAGTGATGACCTTTGTAGGACTACTGATGACCTTTACAGAGTAGTGATGACCTTTGAGAGACTAGTAATGACCTTTACAGACTAGTGATGACCTTTACAGACAAGTGATGACCTTTGTAGGACTACTGATGACCTTTACAGACTAGTGATGACCTTTACAGACAAGTGATGATCTTTGAGAGACTAGTGATGACCTTTACAGACAAGTGATGACCTTTGTAGGACTACTGATGACCTTTACAGACAAGTGATGACCTTTGTAGGACTAGTGATGACCTTTGAGAGACTAGAGATGACCTTTACAGACTAGTGGTGACCTTTACAGACTAGTGATGACCTTTGAGAGACCAGTGATGACCTTTACAGACTAGTGATGACCTTTACAGACTAGTGATGACCTTTACAGACAAGTGATGACCTTTAAGAGACTAGTGGTGACCTTTACAGACTAGTGATGACCTTTGAGAGACCAGTGATGACCTTTACAGACTAGTGATGACCTTTACAGACTAGTGATGACCTTTACAGACTAGTGATGACCTTTAAGAGACTAGTGGTGACCTTTACAGACTAGTGATGACCTTTGAGAGACCAGTGATGACCTTTACAGACTAGTGATGACCTTTACAGACTAGTGATGACCTTTACAGACTAGTGATGATGTTTACAGACTAGTGATGATCTTTGGGAAACCAGTGATAACCTGTGGAGACTAGTAATGAACTTTAGAGTCCAGCGATGACCTTTGAGAGACTAGTGATGACTTTTACAAATTAGTGATGACCTTTGGGAGACTAGTTATGATCTTTACATAATAGTAATGGCCTTTGAGAGACTAGCAATGACCTTTATAGACTAGTGATGACCTTAGGGAGACGTGAGATGACCTTTGAGACCACTGTTATGCTGACAATACACTCTATATCTCCTTATAACCCGATAATAAGTTTTAATCATTATATGAGATGCGCCATCCTGAGAACAATAACACCTGTTGATGCCTAGTCTGTCAAAGTTCACCACAACATGCTTTTGAAGTCAAACACAGCAATGAAAGACTGATGGAGAGACGAGGATTTGGACTGAGAAGACACAGGTGTAAACAATTAGCAGGATATCCAACCCTGTACAGCTCATCATAGATTCAGACACTACAGACGACCGCACACACACTGATACGCTGACTTGAGGAATCATGCTTGAGCTCTAGACGCCTTATATGTCTATGTCACATGCCTCCCTACTGTATAGTATGTGAAAAACAGGAGGCGAGCCGAGTGTGTCTGAGTATTGAGTAGTGTGTGTGTGTGTGTGTGTGTGTGTGTGTTATATAGATGGACATGAAACACTGTGTAACACTGTTCTGAAGCTGAGTGTGTGTGTATGTGTGTGTGTGTGTGTGTGTGTGTGTGTGTCTGTCTTTGAGAGAGAGAGAGAAACAGAGATGTGGTTTTCACAGTCCCGTTCACTTCCTGCATGCACTTCCTCTTTCTCTCCAAAACTGACACTCAACATGACTTTCTTCAGAAAACACAAAGCAGAAAACACAGCACAAACTCTCCAAACTACATGAAGAAAACCAGAACAGAAGAGCACACATCATAAACCAATGAAAAACACAGAGCAGTGAAGCCGCTTCCTGCCACTGATGCTGCCATTACGACTCTTTAAGGTGAATAATGCAGGTGTATTATATGAAGAAGACGAGCACGCGTGTCTGAACAGCTGTACACAGAGCAGTTCTCAGAGCAGACAGACATATCCCTCATTTCTAAGATCTGTTAGACTACACCGGACACTGTTTCCAGCATCGCTCAGTCAGGTCCACAGTGAGGAGCAGCAGGAACGTATAAAGCAGAGGGTTTCAGCGTGTGGATCTGGACTGAGGACTTCAGAAGCGGCTCCGCTCACCTTCTTGATGTGGTTGATGCGCACCAGCACACCCTGCCCACGGTCACGGAGGATCAGCAGCTTCTCCGCCAGTTTCAGCTGGTAGGCCATGGTGAGTGTGTGTGAGTGTGTGTGTGTGTGTGTGTGTGTGCAGACTGAAGAGCTCGGAGATGGAGCAGAAGTGAAATCTACACGTTCAGCAGGCGGAGGCAGCGCTCCACTTCCGCTCTCAGCTTTCTCTAATCTGAGTTCACTGTGTCGATCCTCTCTCGCCCATCACACTCACTGCTCAGTCTGATGAAGTGCCTTTAAAGGGTTAGTTCACACATAACTTTAACACTGTCATCATACACACTTCCTCAGGCATTTCAAACCCTTAATGAGTTTCTTTCTTCAGTTGAACACAAAGGAAAACCTGTAACCATTGACCTCTACAGTATTTATTTTCCTACAATGGAAGTGAATGGCTACAGGTGTTCAACATTCTTCAAAGTATCTTCTGTTCTGGTTGAGTGACGCGTCAGTGTCTGTCCTGAGACTGCACACATTACTGACTCACAGCTGATGTTATGTGCAATCTGAGATTTCAGGATCTAATAACCCTAACACAACCACATCTAACCCAGCACATGATGAGGCCTTCACCTGTCTGTACCTGCTGAGACAGAGGAAACACAACACACACTGCTGACACCTGCTGGACACACACATTTTCATTTAATTTTCTCTCAGGTTAATAAGAGTGTCTGTGGCCTCGCCCTCACAGAAATGCACATTATCATATGCTGATGACGTGTGTTGGTGATGTAGCTTTACTACAAATCAAGAATCTTCATTCATCTATAAGCAGATCAGCACATGGGCTCAGCACTACTGCGCTAAACCTGTGACAAGCAGCACAATACAGAGTCACATCCACAAACACCAGCCAACACTGCACTGTGCCAAGAGGAAGCCCTATGTTAACAGTGTCCAGCAGCGCTTCTCTGGGCTGGGAGGCGTCTGGGATGCAGCATCACACAGTGGAGACGTGTCCTGTGCTCAGATGAAGCAGTGTTTCAGGTGTTTCTGGGAGAAATGGACGCCGTGTGCTCCACACCAAAGAAGAAGAGGATCATCCAGACTGACACCAGCAACACGTCCAGCAGCCCGGCTCTGTCATGGTCTGGGGTTGTGTCGGTGCTCTTGGCGAAGGTGACCTGCTCTTCTGTGATGCTCCAGAGGAGACAGACGCTGGACTGACCTGCCTGCAGTCCTGACCTGTCTCCAATAGAGAATGTGTGGCGCTGTACTGTTGCCTACACTAAGACTTGTTTGCAGGAGGAATGAGACAGAATTATCCCTGAAACACTTCAGCACTCGCCGTCTTCAGTCCCTAAACGTCTCTGAGTGTTGTGAAGAGGAGCGGCAGCATGACAGAGTGGGAAACGCTTCACTGATGCAGCTGTTTCTGAAATGTGTTGCAGGAAACATTCATTTATTTATTTTCTTTTCGGCTTAGTCCCTTTATTAATCTTGGGTCGTCACAGCGGAATGAACCGCCAACTTATCCAGCATATTTTTTACGCAGCGGATGCCCTTCCAGCTGCAACCCATCTCTGGGAAACATCCATACACACTCATACACTACGGACAATTTAGCCTACCCAATTCCCCTATAGCGCATGTGTTTGGACTGTGGGGGAAACCGGAGCACCTGGAGGAAACCCACGCCAACACGGGGAGAACATGCAAACTCCACACAGAAACACCAACTGACCCAGCCGAGACTCAAACCAGCGACCTTCTTGCTGTGAGGCGACAGTGGAACCCAAACTGCAAAGTGTTTATTCAGAAAACACAACATAAATGATGAGGAGCACATTAATCATGTGTGCTGAATTACCTGCAGTCAAACACAACTCACAGCACACGTGTTCACACTCACCCAATGTCTGCTGATGTGGGGATGCAGTTCAAGTCGTTTATTAGGGTAATATTGAGGTTTACTGGTGTAAGTGTGTTAGTGAGGTAAGTTTACTGGTGTAAGTGTGCTAGTGAGGTAAGTTTACTGGTGTAAGTGTGTTAGGTGACTGCTGGAAGTGTGTTGTGATTGGCTGAAGTGTGTGAGGGTCTAGTCGTGTCGCTCCGCCTTGAGATCAAACAGGAAGTGAGTTGAGACAGACTGTGAACAGGCCAGAGTTTCTCACACAAACTTTAATGAGTTAAACTTCTGAAATATGAACTGAAATCCTCAGTCAACAGCAAACTCCGCACAACAGCCCGCATCTGAGCGCCGCGGAGCAGAAGCGATGCGCGCTGCACTCTCATAAACTAGTTTAACTAGCTGTGCACGCGCGGAGAAACGTGGTGAGTGCTCAGAAGTGTGTGTGTGTGTGTGTGTGTGTTCAGTATATACAGTGCTCGTAATGACCCGTGTTATGATGTCTCGATTATGCTGGTTCAGCTCGGTGGATGTGTTTGATGACGTGTTGTTGTTGTTGTGTTGTTGAGTCTGTGAGTGTCGTGATTGTGACTGATGTTGTTCTGCTCCTCCTGGGAATGAGCAGCTCCGGCCAGCACTAACAGCGCTTTACCACAGTTTACCTCATTACAGCGGTGCAGGACACACTCCTCCAGCAGCAGCGGGTAAACACATCCTCACACTGCCGCTGAGCTGAAGAGTGCAGAACACGGAGAAGACAACTGCAGGAGCTCTACTGAACACACACACACACACACACACACACACACATCAATATAAGGAGCCTGTGTGGTGTCATATCAAAGAAAATGTACAGTTATTAAGAAAAACACGCTCTCTTATACTATGAACACAGAGTTAACCTCACTGAAACACTTCTACAATTATCACACACTTATAAACATTAAACAGGAGGGAGGATGAACAGCGCACAGTGGCCAGCTTTACTGATGCACCAAATATATATATATATATTTACATGTTGTGTGTGAGAAGCAGTAAATTACAGGTCATCATCATCCACCAAACACTCAAATATGGAAAATGTTTAAAAATAAAGTCAATTTTTGACATTTTAGGAAGTTTTTTGTGGGGAAATGTTGTAATGGTGCAGCGCTGGGCAGCAGAAATGCAGTGTTGCTTGCTTTACTGTGTGTGTGTGTGTGTGTGTGTGTGTGTGTGTGTACAGTTTATTTAGATCAATGACAGCCTACATGTCTGTATGTCACACTAATGATCATCAGAGAAGTCTTATATTAAGAAAGAGGAGAATCAAAGTGTGCGTATTAACACACACACACACACACACACACACACACACACACACACACACACACACAGAGTGTGTTCGAGGTTGTTCTGGCTCTAGTGATGGTGATGTGCTTTCAGGCTCTGGGTTTGTGTGTTTGTGGCCTGTTTACACAACCAGCAGCGCCACACAACTGAGCTGTTGAGTAAATGTGGAGAAACTGGTGTGTGTGTGTGTGTGTGTGTGTGCAGGTTTGTCTTAATACAGCTAAAACTGATGTTTCTGTCTTACAGCAGAGTCACACACACATACTGACAGCAGTGTGTGCACATGTACAGGTGTGTGTGTGTGTGTGTACAGGTGTGTGAGCGTGTGTATGTTTGTGCAGGTAATGATGCCTGCAGAGGAACTTGTGTGCGCGTGCATCAGGTGATGGCACAGTAATGTGTGTGTGTTTGCAGATGGCGCAGGAGGTGGGGCTGCAGTATGAGCCAGTAGCAGAGATCGGGGGCGGGGCTTACGGGACCGTCTATAAGGCTCGGGATCGGGACAGCGGGCAGTTTGTGGCGCTGAAGAGCGTTCGGGTGCAGACCAATCAGGACGGACTCCCACTGTCCACGGTTCGAGAGGTGGCTCTGCTGAAGCGCCTGGAGCAGTTCGACCATCCCAACATCGTCAGGTACACACACACAGTTACATACACACACACAATCACTGATACACACAATTACTCATGGGCACACACACACACACACACACACACACACACACACACACTGATCTCCTTCAGAACTGTAGTAGTTCTGCAACTGTTTGTTTGAGGTTCTTGTTTTGCTGAAAGATCTCGTAATCTGTGTGTCGCGTCCTCTGTGCGTGATGACGGGGTGTGTGTGTCTATGATCAGGCATTTTGTAAGTGTGTAATCTGTGTGTGTGTGTGTGTGTGTTTCAGGCTGATGGACGTGTGCGCGACCCTCAGGACGGATCAGGAGACTAAAGTGACGCTGGTGTTTGAACATGTGGATCAGGATCTCAGGACATACCTGGAGAAAGTTCCAGCACCGGGACTGCCTGTGGACAAAATCAGAGTAAGACACACACACACACACACACACACACACACACACACACATGAATATTTATTGTTTGACCAATAGTTCAGTTATATTGTGGGTTAATTGGTCAGAGCGGGGTCTTCTCAGCTGAGCGCATGCCATGTATAAAGTAAGCTGTGTCAGTGTAAGCGGGGCCTGAGTGTGTGTTGTTTGCGAGCGGGTTTGTGAGTATGTGTTGTTTGCGAGCGGGTTTGCGATGGGGGCGGGGCGGGGTGGAGGATTGGCGATGCCGGCTCAGCATCGTGTTGTCTATCGGCCATCGGTGATGAATGATGGCATCATCTGTATAAACGTGGTTGAGCTCAAGCGCATCAGATGAACAACCAATGAGAAGAAGAGGGCGGGGCATGCCAGACAGGAGAGAGCGTGTGATTGGTCAGGATATTTGATGAGAAACTGCTGTATGAAGTGATGTGCTTGATCCATTTAGGCGGACGAGACAAACTGCAGACGTTCTATCTGCTCAATGTGAATGTCGTCTCTGTTTCTGGATATTATAGATATCAGCACGACTAACACACTGATGCTCACATTATTTCAATATCACAGGGCCTTCATAATCCTTTATAAAGCATTACAGCATGCTTTAATTGTATTTATTAGACAGCTGTCTGGAGGGCTGATTGGTCATTTCTGACACTTCAACAGTGTGTTATTCCCTGATAACACCTGCTGAATAACATGGAGAGAGAGAGAGTGTGTGTGTGTGTTCTGCAGGTCCTGATGCAGCAGTTGTTGTGTTGTCTTGCGTTCCTGTAATGTGTGTGTGTGTGCGTGTGTGTGTGTGCGTGTGTGTGTGTGTGTGTAGGACCTGATGCAGCAGCTGCTGTGTGGTCTGGCGTTCCTGCACACTAATCGAGTTCTCCATCGGGATCTGAAGCCGGAGAACATCCTGGTGACCAGCAGAGGGCAGGTGAAGCTGGCGGACTTCGGGCTGGCGCGCATCTACAGCTGCCACATGGCACTGACCCCGGTGGTGAGACACTCACACACACACACACACACACACACACACACACACACACACACACACACACACACACACACACAGAGACACACAATGTCCTGTGAACACACTGCTGACACACAAATACTGATGTGTATGTGTGTGTGTGTGTGTGTGTGTGTGTGTGTGTGTGTGTGTGTGTCAGGTGGTGACGCTGTGGTATCGCTCTCCTGAGGTGCTCCTGCAGAGCACATACGCCACACCAGTGGACATCTGGAGCACCGGCTGCATCTTTGCCGAGATGTTCAGACGCAAGTGAGTCTCAGCAGAGTGTGTGTGTGTGTGTGTGTGCGTGCGTGCGTGCGTGCGTGCGTGCGCGTGTGTGTCAGCGGCTGCAGATCTGCTGCTGTATGTCCTCTGGTTTGTGAGCTTGAGTTGATGATTCTGTCCTGATTCTCCTCTTCAGGCCTCTGTTCTGCGGAGATTCAGAGGCGGACCAGCTGGGGAAGATCTTTGCGTATGTCAAACACACACACACACACACACACATTCACACAGAGAGATGAGGTGTGTTATTGACGGATCAGTGTGTCCCTCAGGGTGATCGGTCTGCCGGCGGAGGATCAGTGGCCCACAGACGTCACTCTTTCCCACCACAACTTCAGCCCTCAGAGCCCTCGGCCAATCACAGACTGCGTTCCGGACATCACAGAGAAAGGGGCGGAGCTATTGCTGGTACGTTTACACACACACCGACAGATAACCCTGAGCACAACACACACAGCTCAGACGCAGGGCGCTGTAGGAGAGAGTGATGCTGCATCGGTCACCTGGATCTGCTGACCGCTCGTGTTCAGCAGGAGATGCTAAACGCATGAGTGATGTGAGAGACGCGCTGACAGCTCTGTGTTCTTGTGTTGACAGAAAATGCTGACCTTCGACCCGCTGAAGAGGATCTCTGCGCTGAACGCTCTGGATCATCCCTTCTTCAGCGAGTGATGCTGCTCTACACACACACACACACACACACACACACACACACACAAGCCAGCAGACTGAAGATAAACATTCCCTGAGTGTGTGTGTGTGTGTGTTCATCTGCTCTGTGATGAAGAGGAGCTTAAATCAGGGGTGTCAAAGTCAGTTCCTGGAGGGCCGCAGCTCTGCTCAGTTTAGTTTTCCCCTAATTAAACACAGCTGATCACACTAATTGAGTCCTTCTGGCTTGTTTGAAAGCTCCAGGTGAGTGTGTTGGAGCAGGGCTGGAGCTGAACTGTGCAGGGCTGCGGCCCTCCAGGAACTGAGTTTGACTCCGCTGGCTTAAAGGGTCAGTTCACCCACAAATCAACATCTACTGGCGCTTATCTCTCCCTCAGGGGGTCTGAAACCTGTTGGAGCTTCTCTCTTCTGTTCAACATGAAAGAAGATATTTGGAAAAATGTTGTAATTATTGACATCTAAAGTAGGAGAAACAAATAGTATATAAGTCAATGGTTGCTGGTGTTCAACATTTTTCTAAATATCTTCTTAATGTTTAACAGAAGATGGGTTAAAGACCCCGTGAGGGAGAGATAACCCTAAGTAGATGTCGATTTGTGGGTGAACTGACCCTTCAGTGCTCGTTCTCCATCAGTGTGATGTTATTAGTGTTCACAGAGGAGGATCTCTGCATGACGATCATGCTAAACAAACTGCCCATGTGACGAGTGAGGGAGTGAGTGAGGGAGGGAGTGAGTGAGGGAGTGAGTGAGGGAGTGAGGGAGTGAGTGAGTGAGTGAGGGAGTGAGTGAGTGAGGGAGGGAGTGAGAGAGTGAGTGAGGGAGGGAGTGAGGGAGTGAGTGAGGGAGTGAGTGAGTGAGTGAGGGAGTGAGTGAGTGAGGGAGGGAGTGAGAGAGTGAGTGAGGGAGGGAGTGAGGGAGTGAGTGAGGGAGTGAGTGAGTGAGGGAGTGAGAGAGTGAGTGAGGGAGTGAGTGAGGGAGTGAGAGAGTGAGTGAGGGAGGGAGTGAGAGAGTGAGTGAGGGAGGGAGTGAGGGAGTGAGTGAGGGAGTGAGTGAGGGAGTGAGAGAGTGAGTGAGGGAGGGAGTGAGAGAGGGAGTGAGGGAGTGAGTGAGGGAGGGAGTGAGTGAGGGAGTGAGTGAGTGAGTGAGGGAGTGAGTGAGTGAGTGAGGGAGTGAGTGAGTGAGGGAGGGAGTGAGAGAGTGAGGGAGGGAGTGAGGGAGTGAGTGAGGGAGTGAGTGAGTGAGGGAGTGAGAGAGTGAGTGAGGGAGTGAGTGAGGGAGTGAGGGAGGGAGTGAGTGAGTGAGTGAGGGAGTGAGTGAGTGGTGAGTGAGTGAGTGAGTGAGTGAGTGAGTGAGTGAGGGAGGGAGTGAGGGAGGGAGTGAGAGAGTGAGTGAGGGAGTGAGTGAGGGAGTGAGGGAGTGAGTGAGTGAGTGAGGGAGGGAGTGAGGGAGTGAGTGAGTGAGGGAGTGAGTGAGGGAGTGAGTGAGGGAGTGAGTGAGGGAGTGAGTGAGGGAGGGAGTGAGGGAGTGAGTGAGTGAGGGAGTGAGTGAGTGAGTGAGTGAGTGAGGGAGTGAGTGAGTGAGTGAGTGAGTGAGTGAGTGAGGGAGTGAGTGAGTGAGGGAGTGAGTGAGGGAGTGAGTGAGGGAGGGAGTGAGGGAGTGAGTGAGTGAGGGAGTGAGTGAGTGAGTGAGTGAGTGAGGGAGTGAGTGAGTGAGTGAGTGAGTGAGTGAGTGAGTGAGGGAGTGAGTGAGTGAGGGAGTGAGTGAGGGAGTGAGTGAGGGAGTGAGGGAGTGAGTGAGTGAGTGAGTGAGTGAGTGAGTGAGGGAGTGAGTGAGTGAGGGAGTGAGTGAGGGAGTGAGGGAGTGAGTGAGGGAGTGAGGGAGGGATGAGGAATGATTCGTGTTCGTCTCCATCATCCTGAAATAAAGCCGTTCATTTATAACCCTGTCTGGGTCTGCTTGATTGTGTGGGGGTGTCGGTGTGGTTCAGGACAGTCGCTGACACTACTGCTGCTTCAGACTGCTTCACACACATGACTAGCGAGCTCTGCGGACAGTACAGTGATGAACAGATCAATTACTGTAGTTGTGTTACCATAGCAACTGTAGAATCACCACAACAGATCAATCACTGTGGTTGTTGTGTTACCATAGCAACTGTAGAATCACCACAACAGATCAGTTACTGTGGTTGTTACCATAGCAACTGTAGAATCACCACAACATATCAATTACTGTGGTTGTTGTGTTACCATAGCAACTGTAGAATCACCAGAACATATCAATTACTGTGGTTGTTGTGTTACCATAGCAACTGTAGAATCACCACAACATATCAATTACTGTGGTTGTTGTGTTACCATAGCAACTGTAGAACGCGGGGAGAACATGCAAACTCCACACAGAAATGCCAACTAAACTCGAACCAGCGACCTTCTTGCTTAGAGGCAACAGCACTACCTACTGCGCAACTGCGTCGCCCCATGAATATCCAATAGAGCAAATATTCCCTCATATCAGTAACAATCAACAAAACAGTGCTAAAAGATCAATAATGAGAGTATTGACGGATTTATTTATAATTCTCCAGAGTTCCTCTAGTGAATACTGCAGCTGTGTTGTGTTGTCGGACTCAGTGAGGTGTGGGTAAATGCTCTGCAGTTTGGGGTGAGGGTTTCCCGGATGTGCTGATAGTTTGTGCAGTAGGAAGTGTTCCTCTGTCTCCACCTCTGCAATAGTATGAAGCTGCAGGCCCGGAGACCCAACTGCACGCTCAGACAGCTAGACCTGCACTTCCAGACCTTCACAGCGCCACCTGCTGTTTAAAAGATCGACTAACCTGATTTCAGCTGCTTCTAAATTGTAATTTAAACTATTTTTCTACTATAAAATATTAGGCTGTGATTGAATAGATTATTATATGAAATATTAAACATACTAGATTTTTGATTTAATGCATTAATTCTGTTGTATTTTTATTAATTGTATTTGTAAATAGATATTGTTCAGTTCAATATTTTCAGACATTTGTTGTTGTTTTTCATTATTGAGGATTTATCACTGTTTCGTATTGAGTTGAGGGAATGAATATAATCTTCATATACAATAAATTTCTTTACATACAATTATAGTACTCTAAGTAATTGTCTCACAACAAACTTTATTTTTGTGTATTTTTTCATGAGGTCCTACAAGTCAAGTTGTAAACAATGCATAGAAAAATTGTGAAAAATAATAATTGGAGTAAAAATTATTTTTTTTACGCAGAAAATAACATAAATGCTTTACATTCTTATTGGGGAGATTTTTCATTACTAGAGCAAAAAACTGGAAATATCTGCAGTCTTTGGCACATTGTATTAGTGTTGGCAGAGACCCACTTTTTAAAAGTAATATAAATTTGGGAAAAAATACACACCACAGCAAATTATTTTTGATTTCACCTAGGAGAGCTCATATTGTAAATTCTATGCAGATTAACTGATATTTTGATTTTTGAACACCAAAAAACGTGTTTGTAATCATTACAGAACTTATTAATAATTGATAAACTGTTATTGTGTTACTGTTATTGTCTTTCGTAGCACTTTCAGATAGATAATACAGTAATATGAACAGTAGACCTATACAGCACTAAAATACGTTACAATTAATAATTGTGCTATAGCCTACATTTTATTTTAACATTTTTACTTTAAAGTTTTTTTTTTTATTTTGCCAGAAAATATTGTTAGAAAATTGTCCCAGAATGGTACAATAATACATAAAATAAGTGCAAGCTGTAAATATCATAAAATAATGCTCTTTTGACACTAATTTTGATCAAATCAAACACCGAAATAATTGTTTGTTAGTGTAATATTTTACACCACATTGATTTATGCCATAAAACTTGGTAATTTTCAGGAATCGCTTTAATAATCAATAACCTTACTGGCGTTTCTGATGTTGCTACTTGCTAGAAAGTGCTGGTCTGAGTGTGCAGTTGGGTCTCCGTACCTGCTCCTTCACCCAACCCAACAGCAGGGGGCACTGTCTGGTCTGGAAGTGCAGATCTGTGCGCGCAGGTCTGAGCGTGCAGTTGGGTCTCCGGGCCTGCAGCTTCCCCCTCTGCCCGGGCACAGTGTGGGCAGATGCGTCTCTCTCTCTCTCTCTCTCTCTCTCTCTCTCTCTCTCTCTTTTTTTCCTCTCTCTCTCTCTCTCTCTCTCTCTCTCTCTCTCTCTCTCTCTCTCTCTCTCTCTCTTTTTTCTCTCTCTCTCTCTCTCTCTCTTTTTCCTCTCTCTCTCTCTCAGTTTCAGTTCAGTTCAGTTCAGTTCAAGTTGCTTTATTGGCATGACATTAAATACAGTATTGCCAAAGCATTTCAAATATGAAACATATTAAAACCATTGAAAATAATAATTAATAGTAATACAAATAAGATATAATGACACAAAAAAAACAATACATTTGATAAATATAATAATAATAATAGTAAAAAGTTTAAATTATTTAAATAAGACACAAATTTATATTAACCGTTTCTTATGGTGTGTAGGGTATATACATATTTTGCAGCCAGTTCAAATGTCAATTCGTCCTCTCCGAGTATATGGTAAAGTTTTTCTGAGTCATTTAAATTAAAAAATGAATTGATCAATGTTTCAAATTGGGGGAAAAATATTTCTCTAGTGGTGCTGTATTTGGGGCAGAACAGAAGGAAGTGTGTCTCATCCTCTATTTGGTTTGTGTCACACTGTTTACATGTTCTCTTTTCCTTAGGAGTCCAGGATTTTTTATGTCTGCCTTTTTCTATGTCTAGGTCATGATCACAGAGGCGATATTTAGAAAGAATGTGCTTTTCTTTTAATTGTTTTAATGATAAATAATTTGCCAACTGTGTGGTTCTATTTAGGGCCGAATAACATTTAAGTTTAGTCTGGAGGTTGAGTTCAGTTTTCAGTTTTTCATCATAGTTATATTTTAATGTTTTGTCAATTTGTTTGTGAAGGTTTTGTTTGGGGACGGGTTCGGTCTGTGTTTTTTCCAGTAGCTCAGATACCAGTGTGTTTAGAGGATGAGACACTGTAGGTTTTTCATTAGCCAGAAGGGCTTTATATTGGACAGACTGGGGGTCCGACTGATGCAGGTGCAGCCAGAACTGAACAGCTCGTTTCTGAATCTCCAAATTTAGCGGGTATAAACCCAGTTCAGCCCTGCAGGCAATGTTAGACGTGTTTCTGTGGATATGTAATATGCTTTTAGCAAATTCTAATTGTGTTCGTTCAATTAAACTTTTATTCCAATTTTCAAATTTTAATACTGGTGCCCAAATTTCACTCCCATATAGTAATATAGGTTTGATAATAGCGTGATATAATTTAATCCATGTTTTAGTTGGTAACTGTAATTGGCCAAAGCGTGATTTTATGGCATAGAATGCTCTGCGAGCCCTCTCGCTCAGGGTCTTGACAGCGAGATTGAAGCCCCCAGAGGCAGAGATCTGGATGCCCAGGTATGAGTAACTGCTACAATGCTCTAGAGTTTCTCCTCTGTATGTGATTTGATATTTGTGTCCCTGAGATCTGGCCTTCTTCTGGAACACCATGACTTTGGTTTTGTCCAGGTTGACCGTCAGTGCCCATTCCTCACAGTACTGCTCCAACAGAGTCAGGCTGTGCTGGAGACCCTCTGCTGTGGGAGACAGCAGCACCAGGTCATCCGCATACAGCAGGCACTTTACTTTAGAGTCAAGCAGAGTGAGGCCGGGGATGCAGTCGGAGCCGTCTAGAATGTCTGCCAGATCATTAATGTAGATATTAAACAGGGTTGGGCTCAGGCTGCAACCCTGCCGCACCCCTCGACTCTGCTGGACAAACTCTGTTCTCATATTTCCAACTTTTACAGCGCATTTACTTTTCTTATACATGGCTTCTATAATGCTATATACTTTTCCACCAATGCCAATCTCTCTCTCTCTCTCTCTCTCTCTCTCTCTCTCTCTCTCTCTTTTTCCTCTCTCTCTCTCTCTCCCTCTCTCTCTCTCTCTCTCTCTCTCTCTCTCTCTCTCTCTCTCTCTCTCTCTCTCTCTCTCTCTCTCTCCTCCTCCTCCTCCGCCGCCGCCAGAGGGCGCAGGCACGCGCGGGTCACGACTGGTGACGCGCGCCGATGACGCATGCGTGACGCAGCGCGGATGTCCCAGAATGCCGCGGTCTGCCAGCGCAGCAGAGATCAATGGTCGGCTGCTGATCAGAGGAGCCGCTGATTATTGAGATTAAAGGCGTTAATCAGCGCAGAGCCTCCGGTGCCGAAGCGCTGACAGCGGCACAGAGAGCAGGAGCAGCCGCCGCCATCACCATCATCATCACCTTCATCACCACAGCTGAACAACAGCCCAGCCGGTGAACGACAGTGAGTATACGTGTGTGTGTGTGTGTGTGTGTGTGTGTGTCGCGCTTCATGATTTGCCGGCGAACATCCAATAATCACCTGTAACGACAGCGACACACACACACACACACACATACACACATACACATTGAAAATCTTCATTGCTCAGATTCCACACATACACACACACCTCACAGACATGTTTTCACTCACACACACACACACACACACACACACACACACTGTTATGATTGTTTTCTTGATCGATGGTGTTTATTGATTGATTATAGAAGAGTGTCAGATATGGGGGAATTATTGTTCATCAGTAGTCAATAACACACACACACACACACACACACACACACATTAAATGACGACACTACACGTGATTCAGTGTGAGATGTCAGTATAGGGTCAGGAGATGTTTGAGATGACGTCATGAGTGTTATGAATGTGATCAGTCAGTATTCGGGTCTGTAATATGTCAGACAGTCATTATTGTTGTGATTATGGATGAAGAGTTCTTCACACACTGCTGTAATATTTCATAAATCGTGTATTAATCTCTGTCATGTTGATGTGGGACTCTCCTGTGTGTGTGTTTAGAAGATAACCCATGTTGAATGAGTTGTGTCAGTGTTGATATCCTGCAGCTCTGAGGAGGAGGCGCTTCTTCATCATCATGTTCATTAGAGCGCTGCTGCATGATGATGATGATGATGATGATGATGATGATGATGATGAGCTGTTCACTCATACAGTAATGCACAGCGGCTCATCCTGATCTACAGCAACACTCCACCGACCCGCAGCTGACCACTGCTCCCCTCCTCTGCCCTCCACTCTACATGTGTGTGTGTGTGTGTGTGTGTGTGTGTGTGTGTTAGTCAGGTGTGTGTCCTCCTCAAGCGTCTCCTGTGTGTAACACTGGTGTCCTCACATCTCATCTTCCTGTTGTGTGTGTGTGTGTGTGTGTGTGTGTGTGTGTGTGTGTGTGTGTGTGTGTGTGTGTGTGTGTGTGTGTGTGTGTGTGTGTGGAGCTGTAATATTCTGACAATAGCCAAATGCGTGAGAGTGAGCATCAGCCAATCAGAGTGCAGGGTTCAGCACAGGTGTAGTGTAAGTGTGTGTAGGCTGTGCGCGATGCGGTTCAGTGTGTAAGTGTGCTGTTCTCTGTGTGTGAGGTCTGATGGCGAGTCCCAGGACCAGGCGTGTGTTGAAGGAGGTGCGGACAGAAGACGAGAACAACGTGAGCTCCTCTCCATCTCTCCTGCTCCTCTTCCTCTGCCTCTGTATGTGTTTAACATGTGTGTGTGCGTGTGTGTTTGTTTGTTTGTTTGTTTGTTTGTTTGTGTGTGTGTGTATATGTGTGTGTTTATGTGTGTGTTTGTATGTGTTTTTGTGTGTGTGTGTGTGTGTGTGTGTGTGTGTGTGTGTGTGTGTGTGTGTGTGTGTGTGTGCGCGCAGGTCTGCTTTGAGTGCGGAGCGTTTAACCCGCAGTGGGTCAGTGTGACCTATGGGATCTGGATCTGTCTGGAATGCTCCGGCAAACACAGAGGCCTCGGTGTCCACCTCAGGTCAGTCACACTCCCACTGCACATCTGCAGTTCCCTTCCTCACTGCTCTTCCTCACTGCTCTTCCTCACTCTCCTTCATCTGCTCTGGTTCCTCCTCAGTTTCGTCCGCTCCGTCTCCATGGACAAGTGGAAGGACCTGGAGCTGGAGAAGATGAAGGCGGGAGGAAACAGGAAGTTCCGCATGTTCCTGGAGCTGCAGGACGACTACGACCCCAACTGGAGCCTGCAGGAGAAATACAACAGCAGAGCAGCGGCGCTCTTCAGGGACAAGGTGAGGCGCCGGCGTGGCCCAGCTGAAGCAGGACGTTCAGTGGCTGTAGATGCGCACGCTGGGTGATCTCACATGCTTCTGAATTGCGTTTGGACCTGAATCAGACCAGGATATCACATGTGTAAAGAGTTTGACTGTGCTGGAGCTGACCATACAGCAGATCCACAGCTGGACACCCCTCCACACCTGTGTGTGTGTGTGTGGCACAGATACACACTCCAACTGATGATTGTGTGTGTGTGTGTGTGTGTGTGTGTGTGTGTGTGTGTGTGTGTGTGTGTGTGTGTGTGTGTGTGTGTGTTGAAGGTGGCGACTCTGGCTGATGGGAAAGAGTGGAGCATGGAGGACTCTTCTGCCAGAAACTGGACTCCTCCACAGGCCAAGAGCAGCCTGAGCTCCACACACAGGTAATGCACACACACACAGACGCACACACACACACACACACTCTGAATAATATGACTGTGATCATTAAGATAATGGTGGTGGTGTTGCAGGTCCAGTGCAGCTGCAGGTCAGAACCACACTCACTCTGACCGAGCCTTCGAGGACTGGCTGAGCGACGACGTCAACTCTTACCAGAAGTCAGTGTCCGATTACAGCCAGCCTTCATACTCCCAGTGTGTGTGTGTGTGTGTGTGTGTGTGACCATATGATGGAGTGTGTGTGTGTGTGTGTGTGTGTGTGTGTGTGTGTGTTCAGTGCCGGGGCGTCTGGAGCGCAGGAGAATCGCTATGTGGGCTTCGGAAACACTCCTAACCCGCCCAAGAAAGAGGAAGACTTCATCAATAACGCCATGACCTCCATCTACTCGGTAAACCAGCACTGCCGGCTAGCCTAGCATCTGTTAGCCTAGCGTCAGAAATAATCGCTAACACTCGTCTGTGTTTCAGGGCTGGAGCAACTTCACTGTCGGAGCCAGCAAGATTGCCTCCATCGCTAAAGACAATGTAAACACACACACACACACACACACACACACACACACTTAACAAACTATAACCTACAAGCATTAAGCATCAATCACATGTGTGTGTGTGTGTGTGTGTGTGTGTGTGTGTGTGTGTGTGTGTAAACGCATGTCAGATCTAATTCAGTCTCATCTGGTTTTCATCATTCGTCATTCTCACAATCCTCTGCGGTGGTTAAACCTCAGTCATGTGACTCTTCACAGTTTGTCCTGCATGAGCTCAGAGTTTCTCATCTGTCCATCAGCAGCAGCGAGTGTGTGTGTGTGTGTGTGTGTGTGTGTGTGCATCATAAGTGTGTGTGTTGACTCTCTCTCTCTCTCTCTCTCTCTGTGTGTGTTTCTCTCTCAGGCTGCTGAGTTGGGTCCGACGCTGAATGATAATGTCATCAAACCCACACAGGAGAAGGTAACTACAGTCATCAGGAACAGCTCTAACCCTCCGTAACCCTCATGCCTCAGTCTCCCTCGTCCCTCAGTCTCCCTCATGCCTCAGTCTCCCTCATCCCTCAGTCTCCCTCGTCCCTCAGTCTCCCTCGTCCCTCAGTCTCCCTCATCCCTCAGTCTCCCTCGTCCCTCAGTCTCCCTCGTCCCTCAGTCTCCCTCATCCCTCAGTCTCCCTCATCCCTCAGTCTCCCTCATCCCTCAGTCTCCCTCAGTCTCCCTCGTCCCTCAGTCTCCCTCATCCCTCAGTCTCCCTCGTCCCTCAGTCTCCCTCATCCCTCAGTCTCCCTCGTCCCTCAGTCTCCCTCATCCCTCAGTCTCCCTCATCCCTCAGTCTCCCTAAGTCTCCCTCGTCCCTCAGTCTCCCTCGTCCCTCAGTCTCCCTCGTCCCTCAGTCTCCCTCATCCCTCAGTCTCCCTCAGTCCCCCTCGTCCCTCAGCCCCCCTCCTCCCTCA